GTTTCTATAAAAAAATAGAAATGTCTGTTTAGAAATAAACAGAAGCACGCATTGCAAGAATGTTTCCAACAGTTCATGGAAAAAGTCATGGAATTTTAACAGGTCAAAAGTGTACGAACCCTGAGAGAAAATCTCTGAAAGTTTTTTCTAGTAATTTTTTCTTGATAAATCAAGAATGATTCTTTAATTTGTTTTTTTTCTTCAGGTAACAGAAATGACTTCAGAGGCTCGAAAACAAGTAGAAAGTGCTAATTCTAATCTCAGAAGGTAATACAATGAATAAATGAATGAAAGGGAAGTCAGGTTCTTAAAATTTTTATAGCGCGTACGTACATGTATTCCCCACTGGTTGAACATGATGTAGCTCTATTTTAATTGTCCTCCCTCAGATTGAGACGAGTCACTTGGTCACAAAAGGTCCTCACTTGACATATTTTAATATGTCAAGAATGGACCTTTCCTTAACAGCTGTTGTTTTAGGCTTAGTATTAAATACGATTAAGCATTATGATGTACAGTAAGTTGATCATATACAATACATTTACGAAGTTACGTTAGAAATGTTTTACTAACATTACCTTTACGTCGTAACACTGTTAGCAAAAAATCAACAATGCGTAGAACGTTTACCTATTAGTTGATGACGGAATTTAACATGTGATTTTGCTGTGTCTAGTGTGAATTATATGCACCGTACATTTTCTTTGAATAAACTCATAGCTGATTAAGAATTTGAATTTACATCTGCTGACGTTTGTAGGTTGAGTTTTACTCTTTCCGAGTAACAAACTTTGTTTTTGTGACGAACAAGGAGCATCTTTTCGATTTTAGTTTGAAGAATAGCTTTTGGTCACTTTTTATAGTTTATTTCACCTGTTTAATTGTTGCTGTATTTTTGATGGTTTTAGTTATTGTGACTCCTTGAGGAATTGTGCGTCTCAATTCTCTGAAAGCTGCGAATATACTGCCAATGACAACATCATTCAGGCCCAGAAAACTTTTAAACAGGTAATGAGATGTAGCTCTGACACCAGCAATTGTTCGAATCCTCTCAGGGAAATTAGAGTTTTATTTATTTTGTTTTTCATTGCTGCAGGCTGCGGAACAAATCCAGGAAACTTCAAAAATTTACAAAAGCGTCGAGGATGGGGTGGTAAACGCTTCCCACAAAGTTGACCAGGTACAGATGAGCTTGAAAATGCTTTGATTCATATTTTCAGAGCTGAGGAAAGAGTTTCCAGCAATCTGATTGGTCAAGAGGTTCCTTATATGACGCTATATAAACCGCTCTACGCGGTTTCTATGAAATGTTAAAATAAAATGTAAATAAATGTTACTAAGATGTTATGATTTTGGAAATTTCTGAAATTGTTCTGCTCTGAAATTGTACTAAAACAATTATTCGCCTCAGGTTCGGTGAATATCGTCGAAATAATCCCCGAGACGAAGTCGAGGGGATTATTCGACAATATTCACCAAACCTGAGGCATATATTTATATATTTTAATGTTTTGAATTGTTTTGTTTGTCCGTTTCTTATTTTCTACCAAGGAACACAAAATAAAAGACCGTGTTTTCAGTTAAACCATAGCAAGTGTGGAAAGTAATTTGTTCAGAGTGGTTGTAATTATTTCTGTTAGAATCCTCATTTTGTCTGTTTTCTTTACAGCTGGCAATGCAATGGCAAAACATGTTGGAAGAATCGTTCACACAGCACCTTGATACGCTGAAAGGCTGCTCATCTCAGCAACAGGATTCAGTCAAGGTAACAAGCTTAAGGAATTTTTCCTTCAATTTCTGTACTGAATTTAGCTCTTTCCGACGGAAAATTGGATCAATACCGACCTCGTTCCCAGGGTCTCTCTTCTTTCCGCCCCCTGGAGCGAGAGAAAGGGTGGTAAGATGAGAAACCCTGGGAACGAGGCTGGATCAATGCCAGTTCCTGAGCAACTATGGACTTACCCCTCCCCTAACCCGACAACAGTCAACTGATAATAAGTAACTGTAATGTTGGGTCAGGGGAGGGGAAGGGTAGGTGCGCAGAAGTGAGAGAAACTACAAATTCAAGCCAGTGTCTTTTTCTCCTCACCCAGGAATGTGACAAACAGATACAGCAACATTTTGCCGACGCACAAACTGCACTTACCGCGCATGGAAACTCGCTCGAAGAATTCACTAAGACCCAAGAGCGTCTGCTGTCCGACCAATCAGAAGAAGTAGACACATGGTCACATGACCAGCATGAACTTGTTGAACGGGTTAATACCAGAGTGACCCAGTTTCTACTGCAAGATTTGAAGCAGGATCAACCAACAGGTTTGTGATCTCGTCAATCTTGTTACTGCGCGACGTCATTTCATGTAGTCTGAACGGCGTCATTCAAAAGAACTCGGTTCAGTGGCCTCAGCACTCTCCCATAAATGCATTTTTGAGTTTATCGGCTCATATCTCACAAGTCTCCTAAATAAAGGTGTCCCAAAAAATGGTTATGCTACATGATATATTCTTTGGTGAACACTTTCCCCAACATCGCTGAAATCACGCAGGCAAGCACTAACATTTTTTGTCATTTATTTTTCCAGGAGCGACTCCCCAGAGACGTAGATTTGACTATCCCACCAAACTGACGAGAACAGAGCCCCATGATATCCTGAGAGAAAAGTTTCAAGCGAGTTACGTTCCGCCTGCACTTTCACCTGAACCACAGCCCATTAAGGTACATTGTAGTAAAATTTGAGATGTAACTACAGTTTACTTGCTTTATAGCCTCCTCAACTTTAACTGCAGGTCACGTATTTTTGTTGGGTTTCTTTTCTAAGTAAACCAGCATCTCTATTACTTGCTTTGTCTCATTTTTGTTTCAGAAAGCTCTTTGAAACGCTCTTGCTTTTTTATTCTCGCGTCTTTAGACTCTTGTTGTCTTAGAATCCGGTGCACTTCGAGGCAACAGGTCTATGGGAAACACTGTTACGTTTGTATTGCTTTCTAAACGACTGGTGTGATTATGGCATAAATTCAAACCACTTTGGGGTTTTGATACAAAATCCCTCGAAGGAAAAACGTTTTCCTTGTCAAACGACGCGGATTGGTAGCTGTAAGCTATCCCATAACATCTCGCTAATGAATCTTGATATAAATACTTAGTCGACACTTAGTCTGATCTGAGACTTTATCTGTTTTTTTTTTTTCCTCGCAGAGTGTATCGAGTGAAGACTCCGTGCCAGTGTTTGAGTTGAGTTGCACCAGCACTGTGAGTTCCGATAATGGCGTCTACCCACTTCGCAACAGTGAGGGCGATTTGCCTGATGACGACAGCCTTGAAGATGGCGGAAACGATGATGTCACTACTTCTGACGAGGCTGTGTTCGCAGAACCACAGGTAAGGCGCGATCAGTGAACTTCCAAAAGCGCGAGAAAAGTAAGTGAAGCAGGCGCGATTAGGGAACTCTCTAAAGCGCGGGAAAAGTGATTGTCGCAGGTTGGATTGGTGAACTCCCTAAAGCGCGGGAAAAGAGAGTGACGCAGGTGCGATTGGTGAAGTTTGTCATCTGATTGGTGGAGAGAGTAGCGTGAGTTTTAGGAGATTCTCAGCCAATGAAATATTGGGAAAGAGAAGGTGATGTTCGATTATTTTCGACACTTATTAAACTTGAAAAGAAAAACCATCACAAGGAAAGCATAGTGGAGAAGATTAAGACAGATTGGCAAATTTGGTCCTTCGACCCTTTCACTCTCACGAGTGAGAGAATTTCTTACAATATCAACACAATATCGAGCAGACAAGCGATGAGAAGAAAAAAAATTCTCTGATCTAGTATCACTAGAATTGCATGGCATGCATTACGGTGAGTTACTGATTAGTTCTTGGGATTGAAAGGGTTAACCAAGAACAGGTATTGCACGGCCGCTCGATGGTTCATTCCGACCATATAAGGAAGGGACCCCACGGGGGAACAGCAGTCATTGTTCCGGATCAGGGGCCATTTTCTCGAAAGGCCCGTAAAGCGGTTCTGTTTTCACTCAAGATAGGGATTTCAAATGTTTTGAAAATATTGAAATAAAAATATCAGCTAAAGAAACAAAATGGACTGGTTTGGGTGCCAGAACCTGCTTTTCTATCCTTTAACTTTTGACTTTAGAACATGACTTCGGGCCCGCTAAGTTACTGGGACTTTCGAGAAACGTGCCTCAACCTTGGAGCTGATAACCTAGAAACTGACAAAAGTGTTCTTTCTATTAATGATTTTCTTTTCAATCTACAGGCCGCTGTGCCACGCCCTAAGGTCCTGTCTGCTAAGAAGCCTGTAGACAAAGAGAATGTAAAAATTGCTGTGAACAAAGCATCAAGTTTTTCTGACCTTGCTGGGGTCGGCAGCAAGATTCCATCGGTAAACAAGTTTAAAACTCCCGTGGATCGGATCAAACGTCCCCTGAGATCGATGAACACTCAGTAAAATCATATTTTCAAAGAAAAAAACCATGATCCGTATTAAGTTAATTTGTTATAATTGAGGTGTAGGTGATCGAATTTGTACAGGGTTTTCTTTTAGATATAGTAGATCTAACTTCCCACGAAATTCAAATTCGAAGGTAGTTTCACAGTCTTACTTGATGCCATCAATCAAATGGGACCTTTTTTTTTTTTTTTTTTTTGCCATCAATCAAATGGGACCTTTTTTTTTTTTTCCTGTTAAAGGCGCGAATTATTTGCCTAGTATTGTATATGTTTTGAATTTCATATAATTATTTTCAATGTTGTATATGTGAATCAGGCTGGCCGAGAAGTTTAATTGTGATAACAAGGCTAGCGGCAATTGTTTTTTTTTTTTTTTTCCTTTCATTTTGTGTAAAATCGACCTGTATCAATGCATAGTGGATAGGAAACTGCTCTGAGCTCTGGCAGCCGGTGATATCATCTGTGATGATTAGTGAGAAAGTAAACTTGGGAATCTCTCACAATTTTTTCAAGGGCTTTTAATCACAGTTTAATACCATTAAAATATCTTGTGTGAAATTCTCAAACGTATTATATTATCTACTAGAGCTGGGTTTGTCTAGTCCTCAACTCGCCAACTCGATTCAACCGTAAAGGCTCATAGTTTCTAAAGAAACTGTTTGGGGCTGCGTCGGTGGGGGTAACGAAATAATTTGGATATATCAACAAAGTTGAAATGGTAAATTGGCCACCGTAACGATTACAGAAGCTGACGTTTCGAGCGTTAGCCCTTCGTTGGAGCGAAAGGGGCTAACGCTCGAAACGTCAGCTTTTGTAATCGTTACGGTGGCCAATTTACCATTTCAACTTTGTTTATATATTCAAATTATTTCGTTACCCCCACCGACGCAGCCCCAAACAGTTTCTTTAGAAACTATCAGCCTTCGATCTTATTAAAGGTTAGCTGAATCAGTGGGAATGCTTCTCAGATTGAAGAATTTGGATCTGTTATGGGTCAAACTTGATCTTTGGGTAATCAATCACCAGATTTTTGTAGCTTACTGGCTCTAAAGAGGCGTAAGCTACTATGCTGTCCTGTTGAGTGAGGGTAACAATAGAATCCGAGTGAGGGAGTGAGTGTAACAATAGAATCCGAGCCCACAGCGAACTCTGCCGATTTTGAACCGGTATTCCCCGATCTTAACTCATTTTTGTATCTGCGGGCTTCTGTGAAGTCCTGGATACTATGCTATCTAGGGTGTAAGTCCTTCCGTATGTCCATGATCAGAATTCAGTTCGGTCTTCTCCGATTTCGTTCGATTTTCGTATCTCGCATCGGCGATTGTGATCGCAGTTTTTTGTCCTGCAGGTTTTGTCGCATTGCCGCGATCATTTGCTCCGCCAAGGGAATATCTGGCCACCCCAAAGGAGTTCATCTGTCGCATTGCTTCAATTATTTGTTCCGTGATTGATTATTTTACTGAAAAATCGATTATTTTACTAAAAAATCGAGATGAAAGATAAAAATCGCTAAATATTATCGCATGTGAGCAAATAGGCATGCGAATCAAATTTCAAAGTGAATTATCCAAATTTGTCCGTGTGTGAGGAAATCTCAAAGTTCATGGTATCTATTATATGTAATAGGAAGCAAGACGAAAATGACCAAGAGATATTTCGGGACGACAGTTTTATTCAAAACAATTCTTGATTTGCTGTTATGAGCGAGAAACGTACGATTTTCTTTCATGCACAAAGCCCACGCCGTAAAATTCATCATGCTTGGCTCGTTGTTTAGTTGACTTCACGGCAACAAATTGCGTAGCGTTATGATGAAAATACTGAAAGTACTACGATTTGACGCAAAATCTTCTATTGAACAATACTCTTTGAACACATTGTCAGTCAAACGTAATATTTACCGGGAAATGCAGTCGTCAAATTGTAGCTAAACCCTGCTTGAAGTCTGAAAGTTCGGTTTCCGGTTTACAGCCACAATTCGATTCGCTTTAGAGAATCGTACTGTCGTCAGTTGACTCGAGAGCTTATTCTGTCACCTTTAAGACCTTGATGTCCCTTATTTTCCAAACAGAGTATTCTATAGCATTGCCACTTTATATTCTGAGTTCCACAAGGTTTAACTCGATCGCAAAGGAACGAAAAATCCGACTTAAAAATTTTCGAGGTCGGCCGTGCGGACGCCATATTTTTAATCATTAAAAACTGGATCATTGGATAATGCAATTCAAGACTTTTTATTGGCTTAGCCATTATGGTATATGAGCCAATATACCATAATCTAATATCTGTATATTGTAACATCGTTTCTTCTTACAAAATAAAGCCGAGATTTGTCTAACATCTTGGGGGCGTTTTTTTTTTAATAAAACAATTATTCCACTCGCGTTTGTTGGATATGAGAGGATTATCTATCATCTCATATCCAACAAGCGCGAGTGGAATAATTTTTAAATATTTGATCATTTAGTGTGATGTGAACGCATAGAATGGTACCCCTCTAGTACCCCCTAAAGCCATCAAAATATTTTTGCAAACGAAGGATTCTGATTTGTTTGTTGATCTCCTAACGATAGAGGAAGTTTGGGGACAAAATTCTGCTTAGAAAGGGAGGTAAGGGCGGTTACGGGTGGTTCAGGTGTCAATGTGTTAGCGTATTATATTTATACTAATAATATATTTGTTTCGTTCATCCTGGAGCTTGCATCTTTGGTTGCACTATATCTTAAGTTGTGAGTATAATTTCTAGTGTCGTTTCAGGGCGGTTAAATACGGTATTCTAAGTAATAACAGGTGTAGTAAGTTACATGCAGTCATCGACTGCCTATTTTTTTTAGATTGGTAGGGAGACTGGTACATAATAATCATGTACATGCGATGTTCGCTGTCGACCATCCTTTGTAAAAATACCAAAGATTAACTCTTGCCATACTG